GAGAAAGTGTGCCCTGCCTGCTCTGCTTTGCTTCTCCCTAATCTGGCATTTGTGCAACCTCCGTCTGACCCTGCTTGTTGCCCTCGTTATTCCGAGCTGGTGAAGGACGGTTTTTTGGGGAGGGAAGAGAGGGGTTGTGCCCAGAAGTGTTCCCAATTTAGAGGGCAGCATGGATCGGACTGGATCGTGCCCGTGCTGGAGGGCAGGATTAAAGCTGGTGCTGCCAAGGAAGGGTTTAAATGCTCAGTGGCTGTTTCTCTTCCTGCCCTGTGCTGCTTGTTTTCCTTCTGTCTAGATAATCACGCAGTGAATGCTACAGCCGCAGTCACGGTTTGTTACGAAGGCAATAAGAAACCCCTGCGGTTTGCTAAGGAGGAGTAAAGCTCTTCCTCCACTTTATGCTGCGTTTGTGTCCCAGCTGCACGGATGGAGCTCGCAAAAGCTTTGCACGTGATTCTTCAGTTTACGGTGTGTTTTCTCCTGGGTCTGCTCTTGCTGGCTCAATGTTACTGCAAAACCAAGCGGCTGCTGTATTAAAATGTCTTAAAATTAAATTAATTATTTAAAAATTAAATTAATTGGTAAAGCAATTAAAATGTGTTAAAATTACTGTGAGTGCAGCTGTGGTGCCGCAGAGCTGTCGCATGTATTCTTTTCCCCCCTTGCAAAGCTTTGAGATGTTTTGTGGGTCGCTAGGGAAAATCTGCAGAATTAGGACATGACAAGTGTCATTTTCATCCAGCTTTTCTCAAACTCCTCTTTTAAATGGTTTTAACTGAATTTGCTAAATTTTTTTTGCTTTCCTGGAGTGTCTCAAAACTTGAATCCAGGATTTGTGTATCCAAAAAATTGTGCCCTACTTCACATAGCGGTAGCCTTAAAAAATAAAATAGCTCTTAATTCCTTAATTGTACATGGAGAAGACTACCAGAAAAAAAATGTTACTACCAAATTTGATGGATCTGTTATTTAAATACAATCAAAAATGTTTGCTTTGCTAAAAGTGATGTTCTTGGGGAGAGAATGTCTCCGAATAGTGACCAACCGAGGCTCTGGTCCCTCTGTGAGACCTCCTCTTCCACCTGGACAGCTTTCCTCGTGTCCCAGTGGGTATCCAGCTGGTGTTGTGATTTGTCCTTGGCAATTTTTTAAATGGCAATTGTGTTCTTAAATATTTGCTCTTAATTGGTGAAAAATAATCTTGTTCTTAAGTCAGCTTCTAGTGCCAAGCCTAGATACAGCTGTGATAAATTCCTGGTCCCTGGAAAAAAGCTGCAGTATTTTGCCTGTATCTGAGATATGGTAAAAATGCCCAGATAAGGGGAAATTTAAAATTTTCATTGTATTTTGTTACTCCTTGGAGGGATTCAAAAAGCATCAAGAGAAGAGATCCATGCTTCGTGTTTTAGAAGCTATCTCTTTGCCGTAAAAACCAAAATAAGTCACCGAGATTCAGATTGTCTGTGTATTTGGTCTCGCTTTAGGGTTTTGTTGTTAAGTTTGGCGATGAAGCTCTCAGTAACGCAGGATGTCTGTCTGCTTTGTTAATTAAAGCTGGAACGATGCACCAGCTGTAGACGGGCAGTTTTGCATGTGCTCCAGCGGCTGGTGCACAAATACCTGCTGCAAATGTGAGACGATCCAAAACTCTTCTCTTCTTGCAGGGTATCGAGCGCCTCAAAAACCAGAAGCCGACGTGGGAGAGGGTCAGCGGCTGGGAAGGGATGAAGCTGGCGTTTGGCGGTGCCTTCTCCTTGGGCTGGTTCAGCCCCTTCTCGAACTTGGACTGCAAGAGCCCGGCGCCAGCTGAAGCCGTGGTGGCAGCTCCTGTGTCGGCAATACTGACCCAAGAGGAAATCGAGCAGTTTCTCGCCCAAGATGTTGCCGTCCAAGTGTTACCTGAATAAGCAAAGCATCCTCCAAGATGTCAAGAGCGGACAGGGTGGTTTTTTTTGGTTTTTTTGTTTTTTTTAATAACGACTTGTGCTCTGATTTAAGGAGTTGGTTTTTAACATACTTTTGGTGCATTAAAAAATTCGGGAGTGTTTATCCAGCAGCCAGGAACAACACTAGCAGAAGCAATGCAAATCTCCAGAGAAAGCTCAATGAGTGATGGGATTCATAAGCTCTTTTCGGACCGGCGTCAACCACTTTATTGATCTTTTCTCACTTGGCCTTTAAGGAGAGTTGATAATTGTTGGATAAATCGGTCCCAGCTCCCAGAAATGTGTGGTCCTAAGGAGTCTGGCTCATCTTTTGTTGATCAGCCCAGCTCTCAAGGTTTTCTTGAAAAGCTCATCCTTTAGCTCATCCCACGAATGGTGCCTCTAGACGATGGAAACTGCTGGTGCTCGGGTCTCAGCAGAGGTGGGACACCGGGCTGTGGACACTGCAGATGAGCTCACTTGCCCCAGGTGTCATTCCTTTGGGCTCCGAAATATCTCCAGGGGTACATTTGAACCCTCTGTGCTCTTGGGGTGGCCCAAGGCTGGTGGTGCTTGGCTGGGCGGTGTTGTAGCTGGTGGGCTGGTGGCGGTCCCAGGCTGGTGGCAGGAGCATTCACCCACAGCCAGCACAGCCAAGAGCGGGCAAGTATTGGCCAGGTTTTTGAAGCGTTTGCCCAGGGGCTGTGGTTCATTAGCACGTGTGGAGCAGGAGCTGCCTGCCCCAACCCCACAGCCCAGAAAGATATTGTTTTTCCCCTCAATAGGCAGAGTTAGTTGAGAATTGCCTCTGAATCTTGCTGGTGTTTAACACTGTCCTCTTGGTACTCGCCATTGTGCAGGGTTTCCTTGTGCTGATTTTACAGCCAGCTCCTGGGGAACATTGGTGATGGTGTAGCAGGAACGTGCCTTGCTCAAGGAAGGTGTCGCTGCAGGTGGCAATGGCTGCAGCAAAGTCACACAGAGGTGTCACCAGCTGCAGCATTCAGACATGCTGCAAACTCTTGGCATGCTCCAGGCAGCAGTGTAGGTTTCATTTAAACCGGTTTTCAGTTGTTTGTGGTTTTTTTCCTTTGATTTAGGCTGGTTTTTTTAATTGATTTTTTTCCTTCCTCTCATCTCTCTTAGCGTAGTTGTCAGTAAATTTGCAGGGTATTAGGGAGACGTGCTCCTGGTTTTCCCTCCAGGATGTGCTTGGCTTTGTCTCCTCCGCTCCCCTGTGACATAGACCAAAGATAAGTAATGCTGCCTCGCTGAAGTAAGAGAATGGAGTTTGAGAAAGGAAAGTGTGGTGTTGAGCAAGACCTAGGTGAAGTTTGTGTTATTTATAGAAGCAATACCAAATGGAATTTGTGCAACATTTTTTTCTT